TGATGGCTAAAATGTCTCATTACATAGTGACTTTTAATATGAGAAAGTAGGACTGATTGCCTTATTTTCTGAGGGAAAATGAGTACACTTCCCCCAAAGAAGCCTGTGTATGCTTTTTAAAAGTTTGATTTTTCAGGGGCGCCTGGGTGGCTCAGTGGGTTAGGTGGCTGACTTCGGCTCAGGTCATGATCTCAACGGTCTGTGAGTTCAAGCCCTGCCTCGGACCCTGTGCTGACAGCTTAGAGCCTGGAGCCTGCTTCAGATTCTCTGTCTCCCTCTCTCTCGGCTCCTCCCCTGCGCGCTCTCTCTCTCTCTCTCTCTCTCTCTCTCTCTCTCTCAAAAATAAGTAAACATTAAAAACTATTTTTCAAGTTTAATTTTTCATTAAAAATAGACCTACCCTATGACCCAGCAATAGCACTGCTAGGAATTTACCCAAGGGATACAGGAGTACTGATGCATAGGGGCACTTGTACCCCAATGTTTAAAGCAGCACTCTCAACAATAGCCAAATTATGGAAAGAGCCTAAATGTCCATCAACTGATGAATGGATAAAGAAATTGTGGTTTATATACACAATGGAGTACTACGTGCCAATGAGAAAGAATGAAATATGGCCCTTTGTAGCAACGTGGATGGAACTGGAGAGTGTGATGCTAAGTGAAATAAGCCATACAGAGAAGGACAGATACCATATGGTTTCACTCTTATGTGGATCCTGAGAAACTTAACAGAAACCCATGGGGGAGGGGAAGGAAAAAAAAAGAGGTTAAAGTGGAAGAGAGCCAAAGCATAAGAGACTCTTAAAAACTGAGAACAAACTGAGGGTTGATGGGGGGTGGGAGGGAGGGGAGGGTGGGTGATGGGTATTGAGGAGGGCACCTTTTGGGATGAGCACTGGGTGTTGTATGGAAACCAATTTGACAATAAATTTCATATATTGAAAAAAAATAAAGTTTAATTTTTCAGGAAAAGAAGGAGAAGATGAAATCTTACTGGCCTTTTATGATGTTTTTATGCATGTGTAAAAGTCATTTTTTAAGTAAGCAATAATATTTAAAATTAAAAAACAGTACTTTAGGGTCTCTCATAGTAGTACACTTTAATACAACTGAAATAAGATCAGTGTGATTCTGAGGACTTAATTTATATTCATCATGAGTTATTTGATCACCTGCCCCACTTTTATGAACTTCATGGGATATCAGCATTTGGCACGATTGGCGTTTTATTAAATAAATACACTATTGGCACTCCCAAACCTTACTCATCAACAGATGGAGCTTAAAATGGACTGGGGCTAATCCTCTCAGGTAGAAAATTAGCAAGTGAGCCGAAATGCTACAACTCCTGGTGGAAAGGGTTCTGTCCTACACACTCTGTCACCTCCCATTGAGTGTTTTTGGCAGATGGTTTAGGACTTTTGTTAAGAATCCTGAAGTGTATAGATTGTTTGAGGTGGAACAAAATTCTGAATTTATTAAAAAAAAATGTTTTTAATGTTTATTCATTGTTGAAAAACAGAGAGCACAAGCAGGGGTGGGGGGGAGGGGACACAGAATCCAAAGCAGGCTCCAGGCTCCGAGCTGTCAGCACAGAGCCGGATGCAGGGCTTGAACTCAGGAACCTTGAGATCATGACCTGAGCTGAAGTTGGATGCTCAACCGACTGAGCCACCCAGGCGCCCCCACAAAATTCTGAATTTAGTGATCACTGATGCCTTATGACAAAACAAAAGAACTCTGAGTTCAGCTCTGTAGTCATGTAGCTATTATGTTTTAGGAACCAAAGAAAGCATTTTTATTTTATTTTTTTTAATTTTTTTTCAACGTTTTTTATTTATTTTTGGGACAGAGAGAGACAGAGCATGAACGGGGGAGGGGCAGAGAGAGAGGGAGACACAGAATCAGAAACAGGCTCCAGGCTCCGAGCCATCAGCCCAGAGCCTGACGCGGGGCTCGAACTCACGGACCGCGAGATCATGACCTGGCTGAAGTCAGACGCTTAACCGACTGCGCCACCCAGGTGCCTCCAAAGAAAGCATTTTTAAACTGAATTCATTTTTAAACAAATATACTCAACACAACACACCTGTAATAAGCCATCAAAATTGGGAATTATTTAGAATAGTTTTATTCACTGATTTTAATTTGATGTAACTTTCTCCCCTTTTATTATGAAGACCAAAAGAAAAAAGAACCTGATTACCTCCCTTTACCTTCCTGGCTGTGCCTACTTCTCACCTGATTTTCTGTTTGTGATACCCTTATTCTTATTGCAGGTTTTTCTTTTTTTCTTTTCCTTTTAGTGTCCATTTCATTCTTCCTTTCCTAATCACCTCTTGTCTCATAAACTTGTGATGTCTTTTTAGGGAAACTGACATTGTTCATGGGCATTTGGGCTACAGCCTGTGCTCTGGTGTTCCTTAGCCTATGTTTGCCAAGCCTGCCCAGTTTGGACTATCGGTTGGCAACATTTAAGTCTGAAACCCCTGAGGGACTGAGACCTACCAGCCTGTAATGAAAGTTGTGTTTGTTCTGTTTATTTTTGGCTGTTTTTTTCCATTTATTGAATGGCTTCTTTGTGTAATCAACCTTCAACATGACCCTGTATCTAGCTCCTACTTCTCATCTTGTGCATAGAATAGACATTTAGCCTCTGCATATTTTTGCTTTTGTCTTTAAGACACCAGAATTCAAATTTCACATATTGGCCTAGAAAATGTTAACTAGAGGGACTGTTACCTTACATATTTGGATTATTACCCATTTTTGACCTGGTATTTTACCAAATCTTTACCCTAAACTCTATGACTTCTAAGCTTTAAAAACTTACATTTAGGGCAGGGTTTCTCTACCACAGCACTGTTTTAGGATGGATATTTTTGTTGTAGGAGGCTGTGCGATGCATTGAAGGATATTTAGCATCATTCTTGGCCTCTACCCACAAGATGCTAGTAGCACCACTCCCTTGTTGTGACAACCAAAATGTCTCCAGACACTGCCATATGCCCCCTGGGGAGCAAAATTGCCTCTGGTTGAGAACCACTGGTTTCCCTGTTATATGTCCACTTCTGCAGTGACTTCATAGAACAGTAGAATGGTCCCAGAACTACAAATATCTGTTTATATAGAATGGTTGGAGACGACCTATTTAGGGTTGTGCCATTCATTCGTTTATTCATTTATACAGCATGCACTAAAAATGTCTACCAGATCCATGCCAGATGTTGGAAAGGAAGAGATGAATAAAACACGGTTCTGGTACCTATCTTAGTACATCAGTGATTCAGATTACCGTGTCTCTGTACATGTTCTGTACAGAGAAAGAAAAGGTACAGTGCTGTGCATATAGCTGACAATATTGAATATCTGTTGATAATTGAATGAACGTTATATGTTATATACATAATAACAAGCCTGAACTCTAATTACATACACCCGCTCTCAAATCATTTTGCTGTTTATTACTTTATTGTAATATAACATTGAACAAATGATTTAACATTTCTGAGGATTAAGTGATACAACATGTATAGTTTTCTGTGAAATCTCAAACTCACATAAATGTGTCAACAAATGGTATCTGCCATTATTGTTATTATTATGTATTACTACTCATTGTAGAAAGGATCCCTGAATGTCAAACCTTGAATGAGTGAATGACAGATGTACGTGGATAACGTTTTTAAAAAATTGAAATAAATTGTTTCTTAGCAAGGCAGGCAGCTGTTCAAGTTGGCTAGCATTGAAGTTGCTTCCGTAGTAGGAGCCAAAGGTTGGGGCTAGAGGCATAAGGGTCCATGAGACTTGGAAAAGAGAATTGAGAGAATCATATGTCATTTGAAAGACTTAAGGAAGGTTTATAAGCAGACTTGGCCAGAGGTCATATTTGTAGATAGGACTTGGGCTGGAATCTAGTTCTGGTAAGTAGGATTTAAGACAAATTCAAACGCTTCGTCAATTTAGAATTGAATCTGAAGGTTCTTAAGGGTCTAACTGAAATCTCATGTTTCTCTTCACATTACTTTCTTCCTTCTCTGAACTCTGTATTTTCTGTTTTTGCTTTTAAACTTATACTGTCTTGTATTACTATTCAAATCTTCATAGGCTTGCCTTGCCTTCAGAGCCAGATTGGAAACTGGTTGAAGGCAGAGACAGTAGATTTATAAAGATGTTTCTCATAACGTATGTTTCTCATAGTACCTAGTTAGTAGTATTCCATGTATTTGTGGAATGAAACAATGCAGGTCAACACAGTTTTAAAGCAGAGCACGAGCATCAGTATATCAGGTGGTTCGTACCTCTTTAAAGCACTGTGAAATCTAAAGGCAAAGCTGACCTCTCCTTAATTTACCATTTAATATTCTTATGTCTAGGTAATAACAGTTACAGTTTTTTTCAGATTTGGCAAGAAAAAAAACTTAATTTTCTTTTAACCTGTAGCCTAGAATTAAGAAAATCAAACAATTGAGTGACATTATGAAAACATGCTTTAACATACACATATCATTTATTTAATTTTAAAAATTGTTTCTGAGATAAATAAGGCAGTGTTGTCCTTCTTTTCCTGATAGCTATCTTTATTTACAGCATCTAATTTCAAGATTGTACTGGCTTTTAAATGCCTTGGGTCTTGCTTTGATATTGGAAATACTATTGAAAATTATATCCTTACTGTGAAATTATAGTCATTGGTAGAGTTGAATATTCAGATTACTTATGTGCATTATCTCACATTGATATTAAACTTTGATCATCTTAATGGCTTCAAGCTGAGAATTTTTAAAATTTAGCATATATATATGCTTATATAGAAGTGACAATGTCTAGCATGACCAAAGCTTGGTAATATATAAATATTTAAAATGTCTTTTCTAAAGATCGTTGCAAAATTGTAAGGTTTACAGAACCTTCAGAGTACTTTTTGTATAATAAGCAATTTGCTTCATCTGGTATCTTTGTTATTTCTTTTGTTTTGATTTTGTTTATTAACACAGAAAAGCTTCACTGGCCTGAGCAAGAACTTGCTAAGAAGTCTGTTCTAAATGCAGAAGAGTCATTGATCGCTGACAGCAAAAGAAGCATTTCACATTTATCTACTGGGATACTAAAGGACATTTTCACAACTGGAACCAGTAGTTACAATGTTCTGCTACAGAGCAAAGAGGAGAAAAAGCATCATTCACAAAAACAGCCTTCCTCCACCTACTCCAAAAGATGTAGAAAGCCCAGCAAATCTCCTAGTTCTTCTCGTAGTAAAGATCTTCGCAAGATGAAAGCCCCAGTGCCTGTGATGAGCAGTGGTACTTGGTACTGCCTAGAAAGGCAGCCTGGTGTCTTTGTCACTAGTTCAGTGTCGAGTCCTATAAAGTTTACACATGATATCTCTGTTACAGGGAGCAGCATAGTACTGCCGCCTAAACCCAAAAACAAGGTAAAGCGACGCCATTTCTCCACTCTGCCAAAACCAAAGCCACAGCCTCAGCTGTCTAGAAGTTTTGAAAAGGGAGATGACTTTTCTGGGAAGAAATTTTGTATACTGACTGCTATAAAGCCCACCAACTTGGAGAAAGAAAAACTGAGATTTTTCAAGTCTGACTATACCTACAATCCTCAGTTTGAATATGCAAATCCATCTCTGCCAAGTGTGTTGGCCAAACACAGCAATGCATCTGACCGATTTCTTAAACAGGTAAAATGCTACTTCAGTAATGGTATTTCATTTTTATGTAACTAAAGCAATTATTTACAATCTTATAAAAGGAAAAAAAAAGAAAAAAAGACTTTAAAAAACATTCCAGTTATTTATATGTTATAGTTAACTCCCATTCAGTACATGTAAATATGTGATAGGAAAAATCCAGGTGAGTGCCATAGCCTATATGTAAACTACTATGCACTAGTCAGAATCTATGAAGAATCTGTTAGATAGACTTTGTGGCAGGAAGCAGCTATATTTGGAAAAAGCTTAAGATTCTGGTTCTAGGCTTTCATTTGGGAGTTACAGACATGTAGGCCATTAGCCAACCCAGAGACCAGTGTTATGCAGCTCACACTGTGTTAGCATTTTCCATTTGATTTTGAGGGCCTTAGGTAGATCATACAGTCTTTCGTTCCCCTATGCTATTACACTCCCATCTTTTTTAGGCTCCATAGGCATTTTGGAGAGCTAGACTTGATACTTGCCCATGAACTTCTTTTTTTTTTTTTTTATTTTTTTTTTTATTTTTTTTTATTTTTGGGACAGAGAGAGACAGAGCATGAACGGGGGAGGGGCAGAGAGAGAGGGAGACACAGAATCGGAAACAGGCTCCAGGCTCCGAGCCATCAGCCCAGAGCCCGACGCGGGGCTCGAACTCCCGGACCGCGAGATCGTGACCTGGCTGAAGTCGGACGCTTAACCGACTGCGCCACCCAGGCGCCCCCCCATGAACTTCTTAATGCTTTGTTGTCATTGTTAATCATTGTCAAATAAATATTTCAGCACTCATTTAAAGAAGAAAATAGTGGAGTTTTAACAATTATTTTCAATGTTAGAAAATCATGATGTGAAGGATATGAGCAACACTTTCGATATTGCTCCATTTAGACATGTGGCACATAGTTTTGTGTATCATGAGGCTTAAAAAACTTTGAAATCCTTAAATTTTTGAGGAGAAATTCGCTGATGTTTATCTGAAAGGCATAGTGTTGAGATGATAAAGGCAGACTACCTTTGGTTAAATTAACTTTCTACACGCTTTTATAATACATGAGGTTCAACTTGGCTTTGTGAGTGATTGAAAATCTGTTTGTAGGCTAGGTGAAACTGCGTGGTTCCATTTGCCTGTGGTGTGTGCCCTATTTTAGCATTTTTGCTATAATACAGTTCCTTGGACTTGTGGCCAGCAGATTTTTGTTGTAATAAATGATGGAATCTGACAAGCCTTTTGAAGCCATTATGTAAAGCTTATTTTAGGATTATAATAATTTTAGTTTTGCTATTTATTTTCCTTTATTAGAAGAAACCTTTTCAACTGCTTCTCTAGATTTTTAATGGGCACTTTTTATTTAGAAGTGCTGAGATTGTACTAAATACTAATAAGGGCAACTATTGTCTTTATTCCTGTTTTGGCAGTCATTTTGTGATTTTTATTTCGGACATTGCAATCAACTGAATAGGTATTTCACTAATTTAAAATTTATGATAGGGGCGCCTGGGTGGCGCAGTCGGTTGAGCGTCCGACTTCAGCCAGGTCACGATCTCGCGGTCCGTGAGTTCGAGCCCCGCGTCGGGCTCTGGGCTGATGGCTCGGAGCCTGGAGCCTGTTTCCAATTCTGTGTCTCCCTCTCTCTCTGCCCCTCCCCCGTTCATGCTCTGTCTCTCTCTGTCCCAAAAATAAATAAAAAACGTTGAAAAAAAAATTTAAAAAAAAATAAAATTTATGATAATTATGAAAATGCTATTTGCTTTTTTCCCCATTAGTGCTGAAAGAGATGGCTGAGATTTACCTACCAATATTCTTTAATTTGGTGTCCTACCCTAAACCCTACCAATTGGGAAAGAGATTTCCCACCATTGGATCAAAATGAGTGTTGTCTCATTTCCCTGGAAGACAGGAAGATCAGCTGCTCCACAGATTGAGAACTGACACTGCTTGGCCTGTGGCTTTACAGTCTTTATTTTAACCCAATTCCGGCTTGAGGAGATAAACCTATACTTGGGTTGCTCGAGTAAATAGCACCAGCAATCCTACTGGCTGTACTTCAAAGGCCACCCTTTGGGAGAATGCTGTCAACAAATGCCTAGTGTACTGTTTAAACCACTTTAATTGAATAAAATGGATTCATTAGAACAAGGCCTCCATAAAATTTGCTTAAATTCCTATTTAGCATCTGAGTGGATTATGACATGATGTCATACATCCTTCCCCGCCCCCAGCTGTGAAGCAAAAACATAGCTTCAGAGCTTGTCTCGGGATTCAGAAACATGCTACACGAGGGGACCAGGATAGCCAAGTCACCTGATGGTCTCTGGCCTCTACCCTCAAGGCCTTGTCGACCCCTAGCAGATAGTCAGGATCTGAATCCTTCAATAGAAGGCAGTCTGCACTGTTGTTGGAGTGATCATGGTCCTCTCCAGTGCACACATTGGCAGAACAGTGCTAAACTTTCCATGCACAAGGTAAGTCTATCAGAATGGAACCAAAGCAGTGCTCAAGCTCTGGTCGTTTTCAGTTGATTGTCCCATCAATGTCCAGGAGTTCCAGGATGCAGGTTTTTGTGATCTAAGCATTAGGTCCCCCAGGAGACAGGTCCGTGAGGTGGTTCATGGGGTCTAGCATGGGCTATTGGACTTGAATATAATTCCAGGTGGAGCCTGCTGAACCCTCCTCACCCTCTTGCTGACAGCCATGGTGGCCCTCAGCTTCCCAACCCTTGAGTATTTTTAAACTTGACAGAAACTGAGAATATCTGTTTTGTGTGGCTCTGGACCTTTGCAGGAAGGAGTGCAGTGCTTCCTGGGAGTTGAAGAAGGGATCTGGGGTGAGAGAATGCTGAAAGCTGTTAAGGGTCAGGTGCATCCTCACCAGCGGCTTAGAAGTGGCTCCTCAGTGGCGCCCTCATACAGCAAAACTGGCAGCCAGTGCACTTTTTGTCCTACTTCCTGGGGGCTGACTGCCCCTGGGAAATTTAGATACCAAATCCATTTGGCTTTGCACTGTGCACTTTGTTGAGTAAGATTGGAAGTGAGAGATGAGAAGAGTCTTCAGGGTAGTAATAAGAGTCCTTGAACTATTTTCAGTACTTCAGCAAGTCAAATGGAAATTATATATTTACATGATAAAGCCAATGGACAACTTAAGTGACTTGTTTTCTACCTCTGGCTGGAATCCTATCTCAGTGTAGATCCAGGCTAGCTCATTCTAACTAGAGGTTCTGATTAGTAGGGTGATATTTAATAACATTGGGAAAATAAGTCAACTTTTGTTTGGCTAGATAACAGTTGAATTATTTTCGTATGCATCAATAAAACTGGAGCCGTGGGGATAATTAGTGGTTGGCAAATGGGTTGCTTTTGTATGAGAGAAAGAAGGCTTTGGGGTATCAGGTAAAGACCTTGGGACGAGGCTCCTCTGGCTGTCAGGGAAGAAAAATTAAAGGTAGGTGTGCAAAAGCAGTTGATAACAGGCCTGATACCACTGACTTAGAAAGGTCTGCTTGCAAGGTTGGCCTTAGTCTGAGAACTTGACTGGTAAACAGTTGACTGAAATAAAAGTTTCCTTAAATGGTAAGAGTAGTTTGCTGTGCCTGAGTTGTGCAAACAGTGTTTATATTGGACACTTCTTTTCCTTTTGAGAGTCTGGAATTTTAGAACATGGTAGGCATAGGGGTGCTTCTGTACTAGTTCCCAATAAAACCTTGGGTGCTGATCTGTAACAAGTTTCCTCGGTAGACCACTCTTTACCTGTTCTTAGAACTCAGTTGCTGGAGAAGTTACTTTGTGACTTCATTTGGAGAGGACTCTTAGAATCTTGCTTCTGGTTTCCTTCAGACTTTCCTAGATGTAAGAGATGGGGACTGGTGGGCTTAAGTTGATCTCTTAAAGGCATTTATTTACATTCATATTTTAGAAAAGAAGAAGAAAAAACTCTGTATTCAAATAAAACATCTGTTTGGGCTGCTGTATTTGCTGTCAGTTTGAGATTCCTGGTCAGTTGTAAAGGCCTACTCTCTGATAGCTTTGTAAAGGTCCATCGTGTTACATTACTATTCACAAATTGAGCCTGGGCCCTATATTCATATAATATTTACCATAAGCATAGGGTTCTTTGGCATCGTAATACTTTTTGTTCGCAGGGGAAGAGCGAACAAAAACATTTGTTCTCCATATACTTGTATTATTATGAAATTGTTGACATTGCCCTTTTATTTAAGGACCCTTGCTCCATTAAAATTGCTTTGAAATTTAAGGACAAAGTCACATGAACCATCAATGTGTGACAGATTATAACTAGCATTGATAGACTACTTAATATTTGCTTGTTACTCTGATTGCTTAGTACTTTATAGCTGTTACCATTTTTAGTTCCTCACATGAGGTGCAATACTTGTAGTTTTACCAGTTGAAAAAATTGACGTAGAGAAGTGTAGTAACTTTCCTGAGGTCACATATAGTAAGGTGCAGAACCAGGAGTCTGTTTCAAGTGCTGCTGACTTCCACACAATGGCATGTTGGAAAACCAGCTCTCAGTGTCCATGATGTAAGTATGAATACTTCCACCATGATCAGTTTCAAGCAGTGTAACATGAAGTGCTTGAAAATTAATAAAAATTCAGTCCTTACAAGCCAGAATGATGGGGCTCCAGCACACCACTGTTTCACAGCATGTTTTTAGCCTGGCTGTCCCTTTGCCACCCCCAGCACCCAAAGGGCACCAGATGGAAAGATCCTCTCACTTGGCTGGCAAGGATCCATGCCTCTGGCAGAAGCTAATTATGAGGACATTGAAGATATTTTTTCCTCTTTATGATATATACTTGTGTAATAGTGATTTTGCTGTATTTTTTTAGAACTGTGAGACAAAAGTATCTCCCAGTAAGGGCACCCATCTTCCTCTTTTAGTTATGACTTCAGTCTCAATACAGTGTTAATGAATGCCTTAGGAAGACTGGGAAGGGCTCCCCAGACAGGCTATCCACAACATTATA